ATGAGGAGGTGTCAGATGCAGGGCCCCGTGGTGGCGTGCAGGTCCTCTCATCTGCTGGCCCCTGGCCTGCCCTTTCCTCAACTCCTGGCCCCTTCTGCTGCGTTTTCCCAGCGAGTGAGCCAGCCTTCTCCCCGCACTCAGCCCCAGCCCCAGCCCCAGCCCCAGCCCCAGCAGCTACTCACTCTTCCTGTGTCTCAGGACTCTCACTTCTGGGAACCGAGAGGAGAGAGGTGACCGTGAAGTTAGGAGCACGGGGTCAGGGTGAGATGAGGACAGTGGGGGACAGTGAGAGGGCCAGGGAGGACAGGAGGGGCAAAGAGAGAGGAGGCGCTTTCCTGCCCCTGAGACCCTGGCTCAGGCTGCCCGGAGGCCCTACAAGGTGGTCCGGCCAGGACCCAGAGGGCTGCACAGGGCTGCTGCTGGCCCTGTCCGCTTTGCCAGGGCCTCCACTTTGCCACTGGATTGGGCCAGGAGGGCCTTCTGCAGGCTTGGCTGGGGCAGGCGCTACCACCGGCTGCGCTCCACAGTGACACGCTGCCTGCTAGTCAGGGAATGTGGCCTCACAGGACCCCTGTGCCCAGTGGCCCAGGACAGGCCGGGATGGGAAGGAGGTGGAATAGAAGAAAAGACAGAGAAGAAACAACGAAATCGTAACTGAAAAGTGGTACTTTTAAGGAGACTGCAGTTTCCAGAAGCAGCTGAAGTTACCCAGGTGATCACTCCTGGGGTTACATTTAGACCCTTTTCCTACCAGGGCTAGCACACCAGAAACTCCTCAGAAACACTAAAGGGCCTTAGAGTGGCTCTGCTGAGACAGGAAGCAACAGGAGCCTGATCCAAGATAAAGGAGCAGGTTGAACAGACCCAAGGAATGTTCAGATGACCTAAAAAACAAAACACAAAATGTGCCCATACCTGTAGAATGGGCTAATACCCTTCTGGGGGCTGGGCCACATTCTCCTGGGCTTTTCCACCCCTCAAAGAGTTATTCATGTCCCCGGTTCCTGGTTATAAGGAGCCCCATTTCTGAGTGCCCGCACCCCACTCTTGAGTGCATCCCAAAACCTCTGCCTAACAGACCTGTCTCTTGCTTCTTTCTAATGGGTCCTAAAAATTCTCTTTCCATGCCAGAGTCAGCAAACCTGGTACAAAAGGGTGGGTACCTTGCAAGGCAGGCAGTAGAGCCACTGAGCTAAATCCCTGGCTCTAGTCTAGCTTGCAAAGAAGAATGCTCAAACTCAGGTGTGATAACACATAACTAATTCCAGCACTCTGGGAGGCTGAGGCAGGAGGATTTCGAGTTGAAACTCAGCCTAGTCAAGTCAGTGAGACTCTCAAAAATAAAACGATGGGTGAAGATGTAGCTCACTGTGGAGGACTCTGGTTCAATCCCCAGTAAAGGGGAAAAAAGTTCAAGGGAGTCAACAAAGCCGCCCCCGCCCCCGGCTCCTCACCAGGCCCTGGCTCCTGTAGGACAAGGGCAGGAACAGGCTGGGAAGAATTCCTTTGATTTTGGAAGACCAAGAGAAAGAATGGGGGAAAGGAAGACAGAGGGCAGAAGGGATGGGAAGGCGGCCTGGTAGCGGTTGGGCAGCCCTCCCTGCTCATCCCAGCCCCGAGAGCTGGTAGGCCCCCATCATGAGGGACAGGCCCTGAGCCAGGTTAAGGCCAAACCCTCCCTGGGGCAAGGGCGACAGGAGGAAGCAGGAGGGCAAGAAGGACTGGACAGCAGCTGGGGAGGGGGCGGTGTCTAGCCCGCCCTCCCCCTCCAGGCTGGCGCCGCCCC